GTCTGATGCAGGTCACATTTAAAATGTAATGTGAACGTTCACACAAAAAGATGGTTTTTTTTTTCAAAAAATCGGAACTGAGCACTAAGACCTGCAGTGTGAATGTAGCGTTTGTTTGCGCTTTAGCGGTCTTACTAATTTTTTATAATTCACTAGCAGATTTGCGCTTTCTAAAATTAAAATGCAGTACCGCTAATAACTAATTATCTACCAGTCATCATTATCTTGAACAGCAGAAGGTATGTCTGTCAATGAATCACAACACACATGATCTATCCTACAGCACCCCTCACATATAAACACACTTATTGGGACATCCTTGTGGACTGTTGCATTCGGTCACGGTTCTAATTTCCCACAATGCTTTGTGTCTGCTAACGTAGCAGGAAGGCAATAGCTCCAGCCCCACTAAAATAGGCCTAGTGACGCCACTGATTGATGCTTCTTTAATGAAAAATCTACAACAAACAAAAGAAAAAGACAAAGAAGCAGCCGAACTAGTAATCCTCAACAACTTTTTAATTTTTACACTAGGAGCCAAAGGTCTGCTTCAGGAAATCAGATCCTCAGCAATCGGCGGTTGTAAATTAAGCATTAAAAGGGTTCATACACCGCTAGTTGGCAGTGTTGTGCATATATTGGACATGAATTGTCAGTTAGTGTCAAATTTAACTTTCACTTTAAAATTAGCTTCTACTTATTTTTCTATGGCATAAGCGGTTTTGAAGTTGTGGACCTAAATATTTTCTGAAGCGCTTTAGAAATTGCGGAGCTAATTTTTGGATTAGCGCTGCCCACCACTGAACTGGAATATTCTAAAATGGCGTTCTGAGCCCTGATCTCACAAATTTTATAACATCTATAAGCTGAAAGCCCCCATCTGGAGAAAGAACCGTTGAAACGTGGGACTGCTGGAGGAAGGGTGCTTACAAGGAGAGAGCCAAAATACCTGTCAATGGTTGTAGAAGTTTTGATAGTTACAGAAATTACTTAATTGCAGTGATTGCCTCAAAAGGTTGTGAAATAAAATACCAAGTTGACAATACCATCTTATTTTTAATCAAGGACAGTTGTATTAGTTTGTTTAAATTTATACTAATAAATAAAAACAAAAGCTATGTCTACTTTTTTAGTTGATTTATGATTGTTTTTCTTTATTACATTTGTCAGTTTCAAGTTACTTCAGTGACCTTTGCAAATTCAGTTTTCTTTAACAAGGGGCCACAAACAAATTTGTTCACATCTGTAGAAGAATAGTGAGCTTCCACCCTCAGAAAACTTACAAAGGTGCACAGAGTTTTGCCCTTGTACGGAGGGAGGGGAGGGCACATGGTAGAATCTGTCATACAGACAACCTATGCAAGAACAAGTCTGTAATGTGGATCTATGGTGCTGGACAGGGTCAGTGGAAGCACTGGAGTGTGTTTTACTGCACCATAACCTGAGACAAATGGGCAGGACGGTGTAGAGTGCCACAAAAAAAGATAAAAAAATTAATTTAGTCTACTCTGTGTGACTTTCCGCTGGATCTTCAACCCAAACCAAGGAGCATTTTTGTTCTTTCACTTTAACAACTAATAAACGTTTTCATTTTTGTTTCAAATTCAACTAAATGAAAGAATCTGTAGTTATTTTTAGAGGACTACTCACAAGTCAGAACATAAGGACAGCTTGAATTTTCCCAGTATATTTCTGCTCCCTCCTCTTAGTTCGGTTTGCGATGTGGGTTGTTACTCATCATGCATGCTTCCTGTAGTGAAACAGAGAATTGAAACTCTTCAGTCCATCCAGATTTCCAATAAAGGCCTCACGCCTGCCAGCGTGTCATTCAGGCTGACAACAGGGGCAGAGGCAACTGAAGTGAACTTAAGTCTACCCCCTGCCCTATAAATAATATTTAATCCCTCTATGGAAAAGAGAATTTGTAATGATTCTCAGAGCTTTGTTGATGTTTCACTGTGCCTCAGCTACAGCTGACACCAATCAGACAGCTTTCTAAGATCCACAATAGTGAGATGTGATGGATTTTTACAGATCAAATAGTCTGCCTATATTTGCATTTTAGTTCTTTTGTGTGAAATCTAAAAAAATGTGAGAAAAAAATGAGGAAACTACGAAGACACTGAAAGTTTTTAAATCTTTTTTTGCCACTACAGTAGAAAACAAAACTGAATGTTTGTTTCTTAATTTCTGCATCATGAGTGGCTTTTTATAATACTATAGTAAGAAAGAAAAAGAAAAAGTAGAAGAGAAATATAAGAACAGTAAAGAGAGAAACCAATAGAAATTCTACAACATGTGAAATGAACACCAATAACACACAGGACACCACACCCAACATCTGACCATCAGCAAATGAAGAGAGCAAACACCCAGCAACCAAACTTAAACAGATGTATGTGTTATAGTTTTAGGTCTAGTTTTAGTTTTGTTTTTATCTCATGTCATGTGTTTTTAGCAGCTCTTTTCCTCAGCCTTGTCATATCCCTGCTCCCCCTCCCTTCACAGATCCTCGGGTAATCAGCTCATACAACTCACCTGTGTCCCTCTGTATTTAAACCAGCAGTTTCCCTCAGCACTCTGCCAGTTTATCATCAGCCAGTCTATGATTCACCAGCATTCTTGTCCTGTTCTGATCTCGGCTCCTTGACCACCTTCTCGTCCCTTGGATTACCGCCTCTTGCCTCAGCCCGTGTCGGATACCTTCTGCCTTCTGCTCTTCTGGTAATGACCCTGTTTCTGGTTCTCGGACTCCTGCCCCTTGTCTCTCCCTTGCTCGGCACCACGACACCTCAGACTTCCTGGTTCTCGACCCCTGCCTGCCTCCTGGATTCAAGAGTTAAGTTTGCTCCTCTTAACCTGTTGTATACTCTGATTCCTCTGGGTATGACCCTCGTCTGTCCCTGGACCCCGGACCCGTTTCTCGGACCTGCAACGCTCCCAAGGATTGTCGGTGATGTCATCGTGTTTCTCTAGAACCAAACTGACACAGTCGGTGTTTCCACACGGAGGCTCCCAGTTGACACCAGGTTAGTGGCTAAAAATACCAGTAGTATTTTGTCCCAGAGTCTTACAGCCACTAACCTGTTTTTTCTGTGTCCAGAAAACCGGACCCACGCACCTGGGTTGTTCCAGCTCCACACCAGCAATTTTAATAAAATTTGTAAACCTTTATCTGTTTTCGGGTTTTTATCAGAGCTCAAACTCAGATCCGTAACAGTATGTACATATACCTACACACATACACATCCACACCTATGTACAATAATTATAACCTCGTTAATATACACAAAACACACACACCTATACACACAGACACATACATACACATACACATACACAATGCTACTAGTTTTTTAATCTAGTCACATTTACAGTAGATACAAGAACTTCCAACTATAGGTAGAAATCAAAGACTTGAAGGCTTCATATTGTAGCACAAAAATAATACTTCCGTGAGAGTTGTAGCATGGAGCAAGTAATTTCGAAGCTTAATGAAGAAAATAATTTATTAAAGATAAGTGCTGGTGAGGCAGCTTTGAGGACTTAGAAACAAACGACGGGGAGAGGAGACAACTGAGGAGACCGGGGACCGTTGCAACACTTTTTACATTTGACTCTGTTACTCAGAGATGGTTTGAATTAGACAAACCAAATTTTAATACAATAAACTTACATCTGTCTGTTAATAGTTAAAACCATTTATAGATGATTAAATCATGTACATTCTTCACTATTTGTATTTGAAAAAGAGAAGTCAGATGTTACAACTGACCCAGGGCCGGGGACAGTTGCAACATTGTTTGGGGTGGTAACAACATATTAATACAATATTTTTCACTGTAAATAAAAGTTTTTATTTATATTATTGCTAAATGAATAAAACTGTAAGTTATYATGATATTACAGTGTTATTTATTTATTCTTTTTGATCAAATGATGAATATAGATTAGCCTTGATGAGTAGACCTTATATACAGATGTCAAAGACTCTAATTGATATAAAATACAGTTGACTTTTAGACACAAGGATAATAGATCAGTTTGTGAGACAATTAACTTTAGTTTTGTCTATTGTCACTGTACGCCTTCATTATGTAACATTTACATTAAACAAACTGGGATTTTAAAACCATTGTTGAAAACAACAACTGTAGAAAACACATCTTAAACACTTTTATGTTTTAAACTATAAAACTGTCATGAATACCCAACACCCTTTTAAGTGTAAACTTAATTTCAACATGTTAATCTCATCTGTATGTGCTCTGTTTTTATATGGATTTATCGTATGGGGACAGTTACAACAACTGTTACAACTGTCCCCCTTCCTGTCAGCCATGATAAAACCTCATGTGTTAGCTAAATAAGCTCATCTGGATACATGTTAACTAGATTAGTTAAAAGTCAACAGATCACTTGTTTAAACCATACAAGTTTGAGCTGGATCACAAAAACAGTGACAACAGTTTAACAAAAATAAAACTGGGTAAAAAAATACTTTGGTTCCTCAAAAACAGTTTTTTTTTTTTTTCAAATAAATCCTGGATCAGTTTTTGAATCTGTTGACTTTTTCTTTACAAGGTGGGACATCTAACTGAGCATGTACAGTGTGAGTGTCATCACTCGATGTTTCTGTTTGGAGAAAAACGATGTGTTGCAACCAAAAATGATGTGTTGCAACCATCCCTTGTTGCTACTGTCCCCAGGCTCCCCTACATTGACTGTGAAAACAGCACAATGAATGGAAGGTGGTGAACAGAAGGTGCATGACAGAATATAACGAACAACTAATGAGTGTAAAGAATGAACACCTGGAAGGAAACACAGGAACAGGTGAGCGCAGGTGGAACTAGAGAATAAACAAGCAGGAGCACAAAATGGAAAAATATATGGATTCACAGAGAAAATAATAATAAAAAGTACACAGAATGCAAATCGTGAAAGGACCTCCCCTCAAGGACAGCACTAGGCATCCATAAACAAACAAACAAACAAACAATGAGGGAACACAGAATATCTACTCAGGAAAAACACAGAAAAAAAGACAACAGCAGCTGACAAGAACCTCTGAAGACTCCAGAGCTGAGTCTGTAGGAGAATTTGTCACCGGCAAGGATATAACAGAGATGAGGAAGCAGAAGGTCCAGAAGCCGCCTTGGGAACTGTCTTGCGAACAGCTTCAAGGATCACCTCAGTGAAAGGAACCACAGGAGCAGGAACCACAAGACAGGGTTCCCACCCTTGGTCAACATCAAATTCAAGGACCTTTCAAGGACTTTAAGATAAGATAAGCTAAGATAGAACTTTATTGATCCCACAATGTGGAAATTTGCACATTAGAGCAACTCAGGACAGGTGAGCTGCCGTAACAGGCTTGCAACCGTGGCGCCAACCTAAACAGAAAAAAAAAAAATACAGAAAAAACACACAAGTGAAGATGAGGAAAAAAACAAAAACATAATTTTATATCAACACTGTGACACACTATGGTGTTTATGAAAAAACCTCTGCATAGAACAGATTTATTAGCCAGAGGAGTAAGTGAGTTTAGGGGGGCCCGAAGAATCCAGTCCCCTAAACAAGCGCAGCCATAGTTAAGAATATTGATGGAACTGTTCATTCTGTGAGCCCCCAGCCTGCTCAGGAGACCAGAATCAAACGGGCGAGAGAGGAGAGGGGGAGGTGTGGAGCAGAGCCTTGTCGACACATCCAGCCAGGAAGAATGTAGTCAACAGATCAAGGTTGTTGTCAGGGAGATCCAGATCCTGTAATTAGTTGTTTTGGGAACAAAAGAGTCAGGCAGACGATAACAATTTCCCATCTGCTTTAATGTCTGCTGGTGCATCTCAAGGTGGTGAATCCAATCAGACAAATAAAATGTGGACAAATTCCATCGAGCCGATCTATCAGCTTCTCATAGATCAATTCCATCTCGCCAACAAAGTCCAGGGACCACAGCCGGACTGCAACCCTCAATAGAACCGCTTGCAGACCGAGTCCAGCTTGCTCAAAGCACAATGTCCGAGTTTTGATAGAATATGGCCATCCATCAAATTGGTCAGTCAGCCAGGAGATGAAAAGCCACCTACGCTGTTTTGTAGAACACCAGGAGACCACCAAGCCAATCTGTAGAATCCAGTGATCGGAGTCCAGATATACAGTATATCCAGAACAGAGCAGAACAGAGGTCCCACCTTTGACATGTCCTCCCCTGGAAGAAGAAAAAACTTTGTTGCAAAAGTTTTATTAAGAGACCAGCTAACCAAATCCATAAAAACTTCCATAATTTCTGATTTTGTATGAAAAATGTAGAGAAGGCTCCAAGCAGCGAAGCAGGGAAGATAAGGACGGGCAGGAGAGAAGGAAAAAGCGTCTTACTCCTCCGAGAGCAGAACAAAAAAAAATCCAGTACCAATTTCCTAAAATTCAAAAACCATGCACAATGGCAATTACCTACTGCTACCCCAGAATGTTGCTGTAATGGAACTAATACCTTATGTTTAAGCTAGTAATTCATGACATCCTTTAATGACCTAGGTTTTCATGACATGCTHTTCYTCTGCAGATAGAATGATTAAAGTCAGAACAAGATTTGCTAACAACAGTCATTCTTAGATATCACTTGTGTTTATCTTTTTGTTTTCCACTGACCTTGTATCNTTTATTATGGTATAGTATTTAAATATATGCCTGAGAAACACATAATATTGGCCCTTTAATGTGATTGTAAAATACTCTGTATTTACCAGACTCGTTGCTGGAGCTAAACCTGTGTGTTTGTTGTGAATATTTTCTTTTTTCTGTTTGATTTTTACAGTTTTGTGTGTGTTAAAGGTTAGGTTTGGTCCATGACTCTTAAACTCTTAAAGAACAAGACTTCAAAAAACAAAACAAAAAAACAAGCAAAAAATAAATAAAATAAACTGTAACTGCGCATTCAATGTACCGGGTAAGTGTATTTGCAATTTTGGTACTGTTGCACATTTTATATCAGATTTTTTTGTAAATTTTTGTAATTTGTATTTAGTATATTTATTTGTTCTTTTCTTTTTATATATATTTTTGGATAGACGGAGTCCTTGTGTAGAAAAAGTTCATTCCACCACACGTATGTGTGTAGTTTTTGGTCCTTCATTTTTCATTTTAAAGACATACTGAAAAACAAAAACAAAAAAAGCTCATTTTGTTTTTGTTTTACACTCCAAAACTGAAAAGATGCTTTTTTATTTTTGTTAAACCAGAAGTTGAACTCMCTGCTGTCCTGTGGAACCTGCTGCAGCTTCAGCTCCTCAGCTGTTGCAGAAAACTGGGAGGATCTGTTTGTTTTCATCTCTGAACTGTTTATTTCCTCTGTGTTCTTCCAGCTCCTCCCATGATCCTCATGTTTCTTCTCCAGGTGTCTCTGATTGTTTTCTCCTTAACTCTTTCCCTGTTTTAATGTGGGATTGTCAGCTTAGGTTTGTCTGAGTTCGGATCTGTTTTTGTAAATGAATAATTTAGTTGTTTTGATCTGCTTCCAGGGTCAAACCACTGCTAAAAAACACAAAGTGACAAACTGATACTTCATCTAAAATGAAAATAATCTGATTTTCTAACTGAATGTGGAAATTCACATTCCACTCAAATTAATGCTGATATGAAGTTTTTATTCAGGCTGGAGAAATGAAAAATATAAAATGTGTGTCTGCTTGTGAAGCTCCATATTTGCCCTAAATGTTTTAATCTTGTTGCAGACATGGGGTGATGATTTAAAATTGTCTATTTCTGGCTCTAAACGTAAAAAAAATAAAGAGATTGTACAAAGACAGCCCAAACACTGTGATGTAATACACTCCAGACTGATCTGATGTTCAGGATGATAGTATTTGTCGAACAGCTGAATGAAACAAAACTTTAAGGATGTTCAGACGCCACACGATGAATTCAAACAGAATGTGCTTTCTTTAGTTTGGTATTAGCAGCAGATTAACACACACGTCTCAGATTTGATGTCCACAGAATGGTTGCAGAAGACGAGCCTAAAAATACCCCTTTGAATTGGAGAAGAGATTAAAAAAGAAGAGTTATGGACAGACGAATATATAACGACGACACGGCCGAGGGAGGACGAGAAAAAGGAGATAAAAGAGGGGATTACATACATCACCAGCAGTAAGTCAGCGGGATGACAC